TGGCACCGTTTTGGAGAGAAATGGGCTCTCATTTTAACCCATATCATGGTGTGTGATGCTGAACTATGAGTTTCTAATGGTATTTGTATTTGCACTGTTCTAAACATTAATATTTTATGTGCAACAACAGCATGCTGTCTCAGTGGCCTTACACATGATTTTAAATCTATTTTTTTCAAACTTTATGATTTAAATGGGGATGATTGTACTGAGAATAACTTTCATCTTTTCTTCAACTGAATACTGTTTCCGTGCTTTTTTAATGTATTTTAAAGAGTTGGCAGTCAAAATTAAAACTGCTGGATGAAAGATACTCTTCTTTCTTTATGACAAACAAGATAATGTGAATTACAGAATATACAACGTTTTTAAAATCTATAAATTGCGGTGTACAGCGTTTATTATGAGGGGGTAGAATCCACAGCTCAGTACTCACTACTCAATACTCATGAGTACTTTTAAATAGGCTACTCTTTTACTCTTACTCAAGTAGTTTTTTGGACAAACTCTACTCACACTACATTTTTTGGAAGGTAATGGTACTATTACTTGAGTATATTTTTTCAGTACTCTTTCCACCACTGGGCACATGTGATCCAAGTTGACCGTTACGCTTTCTCCAATTGTAAGTAATACAGACCCTCTCCCAATAGTAAGACAATCTCTGCCCTGAATGCTTTGACGAGCTCGTTCAGGTGTGTTTGATTGGGGTCGGAGCTGAGATCTGCAGGACAGTAGCTCTCCAGGAGCAGGGTTAGAGTCCCCTGATCTAAACCATGTGCGTTTGTTCATGTCTAAGTCTTATACATGCTTGTACTGTCATTGTCTGAATCTGAGCCTTGTCACAAGCACTTCATTGACCAGTGTACCCATTGCAAATAACAAATAAATGAATTTGACTCTTATGAGACTAACTTTACATATAGAAGAGTTTAAATCCAGAGGGAGACTAACACAAAAATAACCAATATTTTTAAAAAGATGAAGATGTCCACTTTGCCAATGCAGATAATAGATTAAGATCTATCCTATATAACAGAGGTCTTCAACCCTGCTCCTGGAGACCCACTGTCTTGCAAAGGCTGGCCACACACTTGATGATTTTAAGCCTGATTTTGAGCCCGATTTGCACCCCCAAGCAATCTGGGGGGTGTGGCCCAGATTTTAGGCTTGTTGCAACTGACTTTATTGTGTGGTGTCATTACGATTATTTTACTGCTCCTGATCACGTCAGAGCTCCCACAATCCCAAATCGTAAATATCAAACATGTTTGATGAGAAGAGAGCGAGCGTCAACTACCGGATGTTGCGTGCTTCTATATCTGAAACTTGCGAGCCACAAACATGCCATGAAAGTGGAGTATTGAGAAAGAAGATCACCCTTATTCTTTTTTTTGTATACTCTGTTTTTCACTGTGAAACAGAATGCGTTCCAGGAAAGCCAGCTGACAACGTCGATTGTCATTTTTTTTTTCTTTTCAAGTTATGTTTGATCTCGCGAGTCTCCGTGAGATCTCGCCACTGTAAAATCATTCCTACAGTCAACAAGTGTATGGTCTCGTGGTCCGTTCGAATCCTCTAGTGTGTTCGTTCAGAGGACTAAAATGCTAAAAATCGGTTAAAACGGTCATAATGTCTGTGGTCTCCCAAAGTTTTAAAATTGGTTACGATTTGAAAACAGTCTAGTGTGGCCCAGGCCTAAGTTTAGTTCCAACCTTCTCCAACACACCTGCCTGCCATTTTCAAGTCATCCTGAACACCTTGGCTGTATCTGAAATCACCCCCTCTACCCTTAAATAGGGCACTTTTTGGACAACCATTTGTAGTGGTGTCCGAAACCTTAGTGGACGTTCTCAAGTGCACTTATTCAATCCCATGAGTGTACAATGAGTATACAACCAGTGCACGCTCAACGGCTAGAGAATACCCATAGTGCACTGTGAGAGTCGCACGCCAAATGAATTCCCGCGTCTTGCCAGAAGGCGCCTGCAGCTGAATCATCCATCCATTCATTTTACAAAACGCTCGTCCACGGCGTAATACAGGGTAATACAACACAGGTTCATTGAAAATTGATTATTAAGTTGTTGAACTAGGGGATATACATTTCCATGACAGAGTTCAAGATAAATCCTTTAACCCTACTCCTGGAGCTGCCAGTTTCAAATAATTATTAAACAGCGAGCACAAACTATGCAAAAGCGGCACTCAGTGTTCAAATTCGTTTTCATTCACTCCTTCAAGTGAACTGTATTGGTGGCCTAATGTAGGGAATAGTGAATGAGGGTATAAAGGGGGTGATTACAGCCCTTGATTAGCTGGTTCAGGTGTGCATGATTAGGGTTGGAGCCTAACTACAGGACAGTGGGTCTCCAGGAGCAGGGCTGAAAGGCATATATTTAAGAATAATCAGTTTTTCTTCCCCTAACCCACAAACTCTTATACTAACAAGAGTTTTATCAGAGTGCTGTTCTACCTTTGGTGGAACGTAGAATTCAAGCTGGAACTTCTCTCCTGCGTCCACTTGCGCGGCGGTCTTCCTCAACAGCAACCTGCATTTCTGCCACTGTGCCGCCCCCATACAGTTAGTGTCATCGGCCACCATGTATCTGAGCGCACCCTCCCTCTGGATCTCCAACAGCTCCGCCTTATGGCCCTGAGAGCCCCGCGGTAGCCGTAGCTTCTGGCTCCAGTGTTCGGACCCCATGGACTCGGCTCCATTGGTCCTCCTGGAGCTCCCCGAGGGGTCTGGTTCTGGAGACGCCCTGCGGTGCCAGATCTCCTTCACCCCGTCCACCACGCTCAAACTCATGTTTCGGAGGGAAAAGCCCTTCTTGAAGCGAGCCTTACGTCGCCCCAATGACACATCCTCCGAACTCCTGGACTGGCTCACGGTTGCCTTCTTATGGGTGGGGGTCTGCTGTTCCTGTCCGCTGGCTCCGCCCCCTCCACTGTCCATGCTATCCAGCGATTCGCTCGAGGCCCCCACGTCTTTGCGCCGATGGTAGAGGTCGTGGCTGAAGGGCAGCGTGCAGCTCTGTATGCCCACAAAGGGTACGATGCTGTACTTCGGAGCGGAGGAGTCTCCCAGAGAGCCGGGACCTTGAACCTGGTCGAGGGCGGCAGAGAAGCAGGTCAAGAAGTGTTGAGCAAAGTGTTGTGAGAAGCTGGCATCAGCACCAGGCGAGTCGTAGCAAGGGTTCTCGCTGATGAATCGCCGGAACTTGTAGGCAAAATCGGCGGCAGAAGCTCGAGCGTGAAGCTCACAGAACTCCTTCCAATCAGGCAGCGTGCAGGAGGAGTGCTCCGGGCTGCTGGGAGCCCCGTCGCCATTCATTACTAGGCCATGCCAATGCCCTGGCAAACCACTGTCACACAGACAGAGAGAGAGAGAGAAACAAAGAGAGCGACAGGTCAGTAAGCAATATCAGAAAGGGTGAGGCAAAATGGTTCATGTGACCCTATATCTTCCTCCCATGTGGCACAGATTGACAGGATATGACCCACGGACATGTAAACAGGAAAAAATAGTGTGTGGATTCCGATTTTCTCAGAATGGTTTCAGGCCTCATGCATTTATGTTCATATTTGGAAATAAATCTGATATGACTCAGATATGTGTATTTGCGTCGGATATTCCCGTCAATGCGAATTGTACATTATTGAAATAGCGATGTGATGAATGACGTCAACTCAGGTTGACACTTTTGAGAGTCGGTACGCAGTGTTGCCAAGTCCGCAGTTTACCTGCAGAATTGGGCTACTTTTACACTGGTGCCGCGGGTTGTTTTTTAGTCCATGGATTAAAGCTAAATCCCCCCCCCCCCCCCCCCCCCCAATGTCTTTGGTGTTTATCTTCTTGGTCTTTCGTTCAAAATATTCACAAAAATCGAACCTTAATTAAAGTAAAAAAAATAAAAAATTGGTACCCCTGCATTTAATACTTTGTGTAGCCCCCCTTTGCCAAGACAACAGCTCTGAGTCTTCTTCTATAATCTGTAATGAGGTTATTAATAAACATATGGCAAGGGAGCGGAGACCATTCTTTCATACAGAATCTCTCCAGATCATTCAGACTCGAAGTGTGGACTTTTTTTGTCCACGGCAAAACCTCCATTCTGTGGTCAGGGAGCTATTTCGTTGCTGATGTTGAGGTGTGCTTTGGATCGTTGTCCTGCTGGAAGATCCGGCCACAGCCCAGTTGAAGCTTCCTGACATGCGTTTGCTGCTCGAGGACATCAAAGGTATTTTATGGCAACTTTCCCAAACGATCAGTGGTTATTTAGGTGATCTCAGAGACTCTCTGATCCGAAGACTCAACCAGCATCTGCACTTCTCTCTAAAATGTGATCTTTAAAGACTGTTTGGCCACTCAAACCATCCTCCTCCTCCTCGCTTTGAGCGAGACACACGTCTTCTTCCAGCTCCACTTGATTTGAAGCGTATTAATTATTGCCCAGAGAGCAGAAATGAGCGTTTCAAACTATTTTGAACTAATAGCCATTTTCTGATTTGTGCAGCGCAACAATCTTTTGTCATACATGGTTGCTGTATTCTCAGCTCTTTCTCATAGCGATGGATGACAGCAGAAATGTGGCCTGTGTGTCGCCTCATGTGTGAAACAGGATGCCATTGAAGTGTTTCCAACCAATAAAGTAACCATAGGTTATAAACAGAGTATGTTTAAGTTAGATTTGTAGGGGTGCCACATGTCGCACTTATTTGAAAGAATTGTATTTATTTATTCCACATTCATTTTTTGTGTATGATTTTACTTTAATTAAAGGTTAGACTTTTGTGAATATTTTTGAATGAAAGACTACGACAAGCTGCAAAAAACTATTTCTGTTTTGCTCCTATTTACCAAGGATGCCAATATTAGAGTTGTAGCTAGATAATGTTATATAATGTACGGTAACATCATATACACACACTTATACTCATATTTGACAGCACAGAAAATAGCAGATGAAAAAGCTTACTTTCTGAGCTGCTGAAAACTCACAAATGTAAAAGAGAGAGAAAATATGAGCAATTAATTAAACTAACCTTTCTCCAATATATACAGGTTTATTATTATATATTTTTAAATATATTGAGGTGTCGTGCTTCTACGTATTGCAATTTTGTATCACATTATTTTTAATTTTCAATGTTTTAACTTTCCCACATACTGTAGTTCTGCCCCAGGTTAGACACTGCTTTCATTGCTCTGAATGAACATTTAGACACAGTTATGGGGGAATTTACACAAGTGACAATTTCATTCACCGCTAAATATTTGTATAATTCTTGTATCATTCTTACGCATGCAGTTTCTCCGTGCACATATTATCTGAGAGACCATGGCATTTATTAGTAGCCTATTTGTAAGAATTTACTGTCAACCCAATTTTTTTTTTTTTTTAAGTGAACTGCAAAAACTAAAAAGTGAGGGGGACAAAGTAACCAGTTACAGCATCTCATTTACACATTCATATCCATTAACCTAAAATCTCCATGCTGTTAAAGCGTCCTCATCTGTAATGGTTTTATGGTAGGGTCCATTTTCATGTTCTCGTCTAGGGCCCCTGTGTGTGTGTGTCTGTGTACAGTAAGCTGCAGTGTGTTTTTGCATGCATGCATGCATCATTTGATTATTTCAGGTTCTCTGTTATTGGGTGGGTGATGCATGATGCTGTGAGTCTCTGTGAATGAAGCCGGTGCACGAGGCCTGAATCAATAAGACACACGCGCGCATCGATACAAAACACTGTGCAGAATTCAGATGAGCAACACTGAAGCAGCGCCTGCGACCCATATTACGCTTTAATCATCAGCCACCGCACATGCGAGCGCCTTAAACACAAATAAACACATGCGAACGCATACATGCATGGAAAGCGGCGCATAATGAATGAGAGCGAAGGGCCGTTCATTCAGGACGCGGGCCCCTGATTCATCTCACCTCCGATAAATGCGTCACTGCATCTGATGCCGGCGCTGTTACTCCAGACCCATCGACGGCGGCTTGCGGAGGACTCCAGCGCATCGCATCGCTGCATGACCCATAAGTGAGCAGGATAGAGACGGATACATGATGCGCGCACATCTATTCTCCAGGCAATGCAGCTGCTCTTAAAGGGGACGCGGCGCGATTTCCGATTGGTCCTTAAATGGGCCACGTCATGAAGTCATTGGTCACCATTGAGTGAAGGTGATTCAGAGCATCCTCCTCCTCCATCCTCCATCAAGCTGAAAACTCACTATAGGACCAGATCACAGGAGTGCTGCTGTATGTTCATGGAGACGGCGCTATGGGATACTAGCATACTATACTACAGTTTATGTACGGCCACTGCTCCTGTTCATTCGTAGTCGATGTAACTTCGATGGAGCCCACTGTCCTCTTTTTGGAAAACTAAAATATGGTCACCCTAATCGAAATGATTTAAGAGCATTTTCACATATGCTACACTTGAAATGAACCAAACTCAGTTCAGTTAAACTACGCAGTATCTATCCTTTCACTCAAGTAATAGAGTTGTGTACTTGGTCCACCTCTGCTGTTGCATTTTTATACACAAGGACGCTGAACATCACAACACAACACCGTGTCTAAACGCTCACTGAGCTGCAAAGGACTGTGGGAGGAGAGAGAATCCACATGTTCATGAGTTTTACTCTAGACACGTGCTATTCTCATCAAACAACACCGGTTTCACGGGAACGTCCTCAGCGTCTCAAACTAAAAAATAAAGTAGTTGCACCATGTGTGTCGACTGCTGATGAATGAAAGCACACAAAACACTCAGTTAGCCACTGCCAGTCCATCGTCCAGCCGTTTACTGCTATTTGAAACTGTAATAATATATACGTTTTTACTCTATTTTTGATCAAATGAATGCAGGGCTTCTTTCAAAAACATAAAAAAATCTTACCGACCCCAAACTTTTGAATGGTAGTTTTATTAATACCTTAATCTCATAATAATATTTTTTTTTAAAACACACGTTCCCTGAAAGCTTAAATTTAATATCAAGAGACTATACCTAAAGTCCCAACAGTTAAATATACAAAATAAAGGGATACAAATATTGTCAGATGCGTTGTGTCGAAGTACCAGGCACAAGGTTGAATAAACCATTACCGCTGATTTTTATCTCTGTAAAGCATTAGAATCAGATGTTAGAGCTGATTGATTTCATTGAAGTAAAAATGGACAGTAACAAAGAAAATGCTCAAAACATGACCTGCAGAACATCTCGTTATGTAAATTAACAGCATCAAACCTTTAAACCTCCAGTCAATTTAATATTTAACCCAGTATATCCCCTAACTAACCTGCTCCCAGTAGCAGTAATTCAATGACAATCTACCATTCTCACGTCATAAAAATATGATTGATGTGAACAGCTTTCTCTAGTGGATAGAAGCTGCTACTGCCACGTGTCTCCATCCTCATGGAAACGGTGCAGGTGGTCTGAGTATCTGTGGGAGGAAAGATGAAGAAAACCACATGCATTAAACACACATACTGTATGTGAACACGTAGCGTTTCAAAACCAGAGGCTCATTTGATCAAATCTCATTAAGGAAACTCGGGAGTAAAAACACTCACTTCTTTGCACAAAATGCAGCACAGTCCCGACCGATACTCTCACTCCAGGCGGCTTTATACAGCACCTGATCTCTCACACACACACACACACACACAGCTCAGCGGATCAGAACAAGTCAACACGAGCTGTGAAGCACGGTTTAAACTGAGGCTCAAGTCACTCACCAGGAAGACGAGGCAGTGCAGCATCAGCGTGTAGAAGAACGCCACAGTTCTGGCCATCTTATTGGACAGGATCACACGACCCTGAAACAGACACGTGGAACATCAGCACAGAAAGCGAAAGGGGAGGGCAACGACAAAACATCAGGAGTTACTGGGGGAGTTATAACCTTAACAACATAACATTTGCTGAAAATCAAGTTTACTCACCCTCGGACCCGAGTTTGTTTCTTCACCAGATTTGGAGAAATGTGTCACTACATCAGTGTCTCAGCAATGGATGCTCTGCAGTGAATGGGTGCCGTCAGAATGAGAGTTCAAACAGCTGATAAAAACATCACAATAATCCACAGCACTCCAGTCCATCAGTTAACATCTGGAGAAGACAAAAGCTGAAACACATTCAGCATTAAGATCTTTTTAACTAAAATACCATAGAGTTCATAATCCATAATAACTCTTCCTCCAGTGAAAAAGTGCATCTGCTGTTGTCTCTCACATCAAAATCCAGCCACATATGTGTTTAGAGCTGTTTAAACGCTGCTTGATCTGTGCAGATTTCTCTCCTGATTCACACCAGAACACTGACTCCCTGGAGGAAGAGTTATTATGGATTATGGACTAAAAACGTCTTAATGCTGGATGTGTTTCAGCTTTGGTCTTCTCCAGATGTTCACTGATGGACTGGAGTGCTGTGGATTATTGTGATGTTGTTATCAGCTGTTTGGACTCTCATTCTGACGGCACCCATTCACTGCAGAGCATCCATTGCGGAGACACTGATGCAGTGCTACATTTCTACAAACCTGATGAAGAAACAAACTCAGGTGTATTTCAGATGGCCTGGGGGTGAGTACATTTTAAATCAATTAAACCAATAAAAATATATATACTACTCCTTTGTTTAATACTAATGTAGAATAAAATGTAAAAAAAAATTAAGGAGTATAATAATACTTTTAATAGAATAATTAAAATAATAATAATAATATTTAGGGCTGTTGTCATTTTGATGCTTTCAAAAATTTAAACCATAGAGTTTTTCTTTTGGTGGAAAACCACATGGAGGCCTTAAATTCATAAACTCCTATTGTGGCATATATTCAAGTGAAAAACATGTAGGGCGAGACTTGATTGGATCAGCTGATCGTTGTCGTTTGCTATTGCTGCGATCTCATGTGAGTGACAGCAGCATTTACTGTGAACGGAGACACCAGATCACCAGCTGCTCATGTGTAAAAGTACACTGATCCACATGTGTGTGCACTACTGTATGTGAAGAGATCAACACAAACACGGCTCACACACCAGACTGAGCGTGGCCTTGTCCCACGGGCTGAGGCTCTGATATCTCCGGTGACGCTCCTGAAGAGAAAATCACATTACAAACACATCACTGAACAAACAAACCTGAATGAACAAAACCAACAAACAATTCCAAAAATGACATTTGAATATGTTCACATTATCACCCTTTTGCTGAAGGAGGCGAAGGGATCGAGTCTCTCCTCGTACTGAGACGAGTAACGCATCACTGTATCATCACTGTCTCCAGCCTAACACACACACACACACGTCAGTCTTTAGTGCTCGTCATCTACTGTAACAGGACCTACAGTCTCATTTATGCCCTGAACATAACTGATGTTTGAGATCTAATTACACTAGTCCATATTCAGACCATCAACATTCATAGCACTTCTAGAGGTGTGCGATATGTTTCATCTATGATAATACTATAACTGTTGTTTCAAAAATGTGCGAGCTGACACTGAATGTTTCACTTACTTTGCAAAAACCAAACAAATGCAAATCTTGAGAGCCAAGTAGAAAGCAGTTAGAATGACCCTGAAATTCAAGATATGAATTTTGCCCTTGTATGATGTTTTGTCTTGTATTTATATATGGTGTATTTAAGCAATATCACACAGACATGAGTGCTTTTTTTTTTCCATATGTGTCCCTGCAGCACAAAAGCAGTGTTAAGTCGCTGGGGGATATTTGTAGCAATAGCCAACAATACATTGTATGGGTCACAATTATACATTTCTCTTTTATGCCAAAAATCATTAGGATATTAAGTAAAGATCATGTTCCATGAAGATATTTTGTAAATTTCCTACCCTAAATATATCAAAACTTAATTTTTGATTAGTAATATGCATTGCTAAGAACTTCATTTGAACAACTTTAAAGATGATTTTCTCAATATTTTGCACCCTCAGATTCCAGATTTTCTCGATCAAATATTGTCCTATCATAACAAACCATACATCAATGGAAAGCTTATTTATTCAGCTTTCATGTGATGCATAAATCTCAATTTCACAAAATTGACACTTAAAGGTATAGTTCACCCAAAAATGAAAATGTGATGTTTGTCTGCTTACCCCCAGGGCATCCAAGATGTAGGTGACTTTGTTTCGTCAGTAGAACACAAACAGAGATTTTTAACACAAACCGTTGCAGTCTGTCAGTCTTATAATGTCCGAACTGTCCTCCTGTCCGCCACCTATCTCTCAAGTGGACCATTGACACTTCTAATTGAGATTGTAGATAGAGTGTCAATGGTCCATTCGAGAGATAGGTGGCGGTAATGCACTTATAAGTCTGCGATCCGTGGTAAAACAAGACGACGCCTCACGCACCGGCTGTTGAGAACGCGCTCAGGATAGTTCTAACAGTTCAGACATTGCAGTGGATCAGAGGTAAATAACAATATAAATACTGTTCAGTTTCTTGCACAGACCGGTCGTTTCGTGTCTTTACACATCAATGTATCGTCACGAGCCGCAGGGTTTAATTTGGTTTTGTTTGTGTATGTTTTTTTGACTCTCAAAGCCGTGATTCCCATCCACCTCCATTATACGACTGACAGACTGCAACGGTTTGTGTTAAACATCTTCGTTTGTGTTCTACTGAAGAAACAAAGTCACCTACATCTGGGATGCCCTGGGGGTAAGCAGATAAACATCACATTTTCATTTTTGGGTGAACTATCCCTTTAAAACTGGTTTTGTGGTCCAGGGTCACAAATATCAGCATGACTGAAAATGTGACACCGATTTTAAACAACAGTTCAATAAACAAGTTCATATTAAATGAGCTGCATTTTAGACACAATATTGTCTATTTTGCTAAATTTCACCAAGGAAAATAATCCAAACAAATCCACGTTGTGAACCATTGTGTGTTTCTCTGAGGGTTTAATTTCTGAATGAACAGTTTTTTAATGAATCAGGTAAGTCAGTGATTCAATGACTCATTCATAAAGTTCCTTATGAATGAATCTGAATTGTTTTAATGAATGACTCGTTCATTAGGACAGTGACATATTTGACAGTGTTCATATTTGAAGTATTTTTTAAATAATTTCATATTTTAATATTATTTACGTCTCACAGCATTATTTATGCAATTGTAATTGCAGACTAAATGCATTCATGCCACCTCTGAGCTGCATTAATCAGTAAATACAGGCCTACCAAAATACCACTTCAGATGCAGCTTCTGTGCCACCTCAGGAGTGCAGAGATGGATTTTGTTGATACTGATTTCATTTGTGTCTTATCCCAGGAAAATCATCGAGACAATTTTTTTGTAAATATCGCACACCCCTAGGCACTACAGGAGCTACAGACCATTTCACCTCAGTGATAAAATGTCCTTGTTTATTCGTCATCCACACAGGAGCGGGACAATGGTCGACTCGCCGTGCCGTGACTTACTCTGTTTGGGTAGCTCTGCAGAAACTTGATCTTCTCGTAGAGCTTGATGTTGTCGGCGCGCAGACAGTCCAGCTGGCTCTGAAGAGCCTGTGAGGTCTGCTGAAGGGAGCTGTTCGCCTGACAGACATCAACAACACGGCACAGTCAGCCTCTCTTCCTCTGAGCAACAGAAGTCATTACAGTGAAGTGCACTCACGGCCTCCAGCTCCTGGTTACGCGAGCGATATCTCTCCCTCTGACTGGAGATGATGGACAGCATAGAGTCCATCTGACCCGGAGGAAGATCCGTCTGAGGAGAGCCGCCCACACCTCAACACACACACACACACACACACACAGAGTAACGGCTGTATGAGCATCTCATGACTCGAGCGACTGATGACAGTCTGTATTATGTGTCCATGAGCATTATATGGGCCATCCTGCTCTCATGAGCACGAGTTCTTTAGTTTACCTGTGAACAGAGCAGTGGCCTCTTTAATGGGCTCAGGGACGATCACTGTGCTGCTGTCGGCACCCTACACGACAAAAAAAATCACAAATTATTGTGATGTGTGTCAAGATGCCTTTTGTACTTGTGTGTAACTGTGTCTTGTGTCATCTGGACGAGTTTAGTTGTCTCCAGCAGAATACTGTAATCCTCCACAGCTGCCACTTGGAACAGATTCACATACAGTTTTTTTACTCCTCCTACAAAGTGTGCATCAGCATGCTTCACACTCAGATCAAGTTACTAAGTGCCCTTTTCAGTGTTTGACTTCATTCTTCAGAAAAAATAACCTGACTTCAAGACTTCAACAGAAAGTCAGTGATTTTGGTTGGCTACACTTACACTACATATCACTTAGTACAATACCACTCAAAAGTTTGAAGTCACTAGTATTTTTTAATGTTTTTGAAAGAAGTCTCTTTTATTTGCTCAAAATTACAGTAAAAACTGTAATATTGTGAAATATTATTACAGTTTAAAAAACCTGGCTGATCCGAGCGGCTGAGCTCTCTCGGAGCGTGGAGAGGCTGGCCTGCAGTCTCTGGACGTCCTCCACCAGCTGGAGCATCTCACGCTCCTTCGCACTGAGCTCCGATTCCAGACTCGAGCGCGACACCAGCTCGCCATCATCCTGATTAACACACACACACACACAACACACTGAGCGCCATATAAACACACACACACACACAACACACTGAGCACCATATAAACACACACACACACACACACACAACACACACTGAGCGCCATATAAACACACACACACAGCTGGATGTGTCAGATCTCTCACACACATGTATTTCTGATTTCTGTGCATCATTGATGTGCTGCGGACGAATGAGGTGAATGTGGACCAACAGTAGCATTAGCCAGAATCACAGTGGAGCACCTGCTAGAGTCAGAATTATGGCTGTGTAATGCTTACGTCTCTAAGAAAGATGACACGAACAAAGCTAAAGAGGAGTACAAGAATAACGGTAAAGGAGATCAGGGCTGGGTTTACCAGACAACTATGCACCTCACTGCATAACCACCATAGTATGATGCATCATTGGAGAATTTAACTAGCTAGTTTCCCCAAACCATAGAAACTGTCACACATCCTTGTTTCAGACCACATTGGTTCAAGCTCAAGGCTCATTTACATGGACCAGACAGCTGTTGTTTATTATTTTTTATCACATTCATACGCACTCTGTAATTGCCGTACGCACATTACTGTAATCTCTCTGTGACAAACACAGGATTTGAGGACTACTTTGCTATTTTTGTTCACTTCGGCTTTGCTTTGTTTTCGAATGTTTGATAATTATACAACTTTAGCAGCTTTAATAAGAATGCATGTTAAGACTATGCAGTGTTTTCTTTTTACATTTGGTCACTCAATTTCTGTAGCATTTCTTACTTGAACACTACTGTTAGACGGTGCAAATAAACTATTGATTTGTTCTACCGTATTTAATTGTTGTATTGTTTGTATTTTTCTTCTTTGCTTTTATTTTAATACTGACTGTCCACAATACGCTTTTGCCTACATTAGTTAGGCAAGTATTATTTTTTTTTTAATTATTTATTTGTTGTTTTTGACAGTTGTTGTCTTAAAAAAAAAGACTCAAAACTCTGATTTTACGTTAAAAGCAGTGTTTATATGATCATATAGCATATATGTGACCCTGGACTATAAAACCAGTCATAAGGGTCAATGTTTATAAATTGAGATTTCCATTGATGTATGGTTTGTCAGGATATTACAATATTTGGCCAAGATGCAACTATTTGAAAATCTGGAATCTGAGGGTGTAAAAAATAAATAAATCAAAATAGTTGTCCAAATGAAGTTCTTAGCAATGCACATTATTAATCAAAAACTAAGTTTTGATATATGTACAGTAGGAAAATTACAAAATATCTTCACAGAACATGATCTTTACTTAATATCCTAATTATTTTTGGCATAAAAGAAAAATCTATAATTGTGACCCATACAATGTATTGTTGGCTATTGCTACAAATATACCCCAGCGACTCAACACTGCTTTTGTGCTCCAGGCTCACATTTATGATTATAGCAGAGGTTTAGTTTATATCAAGAAACCATATCGAGGAGTTTAAGATCCACACGAGCAACTAGCTCTACAGTAGAATTTGACACAAAACAGCAGTGGAGAGCTGGTACCGTGTGCGGAGTCGAGTCGATCCGTGCCAGAGGTTGGGTTGATTTGTTGGCTGACGTGAGCTGCTCTCTCCAGTAAAACATCATCAACAGAGTTAATATCTCCACCATCTTCCAATGGACATTCTGTCATCATTCACTCAACCTTATATCGTTCCAAACCCATGAAACTTTGGTTAATCTTTGAAACACAAATTAAGATGAAACCTGAGAAGTTTCCGTGCTTCCATTGAAAGTCTACACAACCAAAATTTCAAAATGATATTTCTAGATTAACCCTTTGGGCCTCTTCATTTAGGGGTCACACTGGACTCCTTCGCAGTCAAAAGTGACCGAAGCCTTGAAATTTAACTTTTTTTTTTGTCGATCCGTGCCAGAGGTTGGGTTGATTTGTTGGCTGACGTGAGCTGCTCTCTCAGAGCTTCCACCTCTCTCTCAGCAGCTTCTGCTCTCTGCAGTAAAACATCATCAACAGAGTTAATATCGCCACCATCTTCCAATGGACATTCTGTCATCATTCACTCAACCTTATATCGTTCCAAACCCATGAAACTTTGGTTAATCTTTGAAACACAAATTAAGATGAAACCTGGGAAGTTTCCGTGCTTCCATTGAAAGTCTACACAACCAAAATTTCAAAATGATATTTCTAGATTAACCCTTTGGGCCTCTTCATTTAGGGGTCACACTGGACTCCTTCGCAGTCAAAAGTGACCGAAGCCTTGAAATTTAACTTTTTTTTTTTCAGGAAAATCAGTGTAATACATTTTTCTTTAATAATATTTTGTGATTATTATTTAGAATTTTGAGGGGATTTTATGATAATATGCAATATTTATAAAAAATTAATGAGCTATTTTTTCCCATTAGAATTAATATATTTAATAATTTATTATTTTTCAATAAATGCAATATTTCATGTTTTTTTGAAGTGAGAATTGTGCCATCTGGTGGCATAAAAAAATAAAAACTTGTGTAATGTCATGTAAACTCCTGTAAAGTTCCCTACATACATATATACAGATGCCTTTGGATTCCCACTGGTTTTTAGACATAATTTCTCAATTTTATTAGGTTTTACTTTTAGCTATATATTTAGACATTCTAAAAGACTACTTTTTGTCAAGGTTTAGATATTTTTTGGTTAGACAAATATCAGGTTTTGGATTATGATTTCAATCAATCATTGAATATTCTCAATTTGCTCTGTTGCATTCTTACCACTTCATTGCTGTAAGTGTGTGTGTGTGCACGCGCGTGGGTGTTTATTTTGCTCTCTTGATATTTTAGAGAGTCACCTCTTGATTGCGGTGTACTTTTGTTCTGCACAGTGGCTGATTTGTAGTTTGAACCACCAAAAGATTCTCTGAGTTTTCATATTTTTTTGTATTTCACATTTCCCAGCCTAGAGTGACTTTTTTTTTTGACCCTTTATCATATCCGAATCATGTCCATGATTTTTTTCACACAGCTAACGTGACAAAAGTCACCAAGTTTCATCTCACTCCGATGAAGCCACGATTTTTAAAATTTAGAAATATACATGTTTCCTGTCAAAAATGACCGAAGAGGCCCAGAGGGTTTGGAATGGCATGAGGGGCAGTAAATGATGACACAATTTTCAGCGTTTTGTTTTGGGTGAACTAACCCTTTCAACTTCCTTTTTAACATATTAACAATTCATGTATTATTTTGAATATAAAAATGCATAATCAGGACAAGGAAAAACTGAGTCTGTCATAACTAGTACGATCTGGAATCTTGGAATTTTGCTTTATAACAGGAATGAATCTGTACCTGATTGGCTCGCTCCAGATCAGTCATCACCATGTCAACCTCATCAGCCCTGAGAACCGAATAAATTCACCATTAGCGCTCTCGTAGTAGTGTACAAATGCAGAGATGAATTCCATGTGCTTCGATGCTCATTATGTGAGCATGCGTTCACACTGTATTAATGCAGCACACACTCTTAACACATCTGTTAACATATGACGACAATGACCATGACGGTCTAATCATGTCACTATAAGCAAAAACTTTTTTGGAAGGAAATAATTTGACGCATTCATCTGTGAATTGTCTGTGAATGTCTTCTTGTAATGGATGTAATCTGGACTCTGTTCTTCTCCTTCCTTCCTTGAATAAGTTATGGTTGACCTTCACACTGAATATGCAACAGCATTAAAGGACCAGACTGACTCTTTACTTAGAAGTGGCCAAATCAACTTTATATCTGCACGTCACATACATCTTAAATGTATATTGTGTACTATTTAACCATTTATAAACTTGGTAAACAGCATTTGCCAGCATTAACAACCTAAGCATTTTTACCCGGGAGAATAAAAGTTAACTTCATGGAGAATAAAAGTTAACTTCACGAATCCCATTCATTATTGCATCTATACTTTCATCTATATCTATGCTGATTCGGCACTCAAGAAACTGTTGTAATGCTGAATATTTCAGTGAAACTGTATGCATTTTTCTTTATTCTTTGATGAATAGAGAGAACAGCATTTATTTGAAACAGATTTTTTTGTAACAAGGTGAACGCCTTCGCTGTCATTTTTGATCACTTTAAAGTGTTCCTGCTAAATAAAAGTGTTAATTAAATATTAAGTAAATCTAACTATTGAATGGTAGTGTGCAATGTTGAACATTGTTTATCACAGGAGAGATGCATAATAAACTGACTGATAAATACATGTGAATGATATGAAGTTGTTTAACACAAACACACACTTACTTTGCAGTCGCCTCTTCATCATATTTGGTTTTCAGGTCAAAAAGCTCTGTCTGAGTTCGTTCAAGTGCTGCAAAGACACACAACAACATATAATGATCTATACAATAATATAAAATACATAACATAACCTCCAGCACACACACACACACACTCCTGTTTATCAGTACATGGAGGAAGAGTTTCTGAAAGAATACAGATAAGATTTTTAACAAAAGATGACATTTGCACACTCTGAATACATTCTGTTTTGCTTAAAAAGGAACCAAGTGAATTAAAACGGAACGTGTTGCATTGTGAACACTGTTTGAGATGAACGGTACTGACAAATGAAATGAAAACGGGCCTCTGAGTAAACAGACGGGTGAGAGCAGCTGCTCCTGTACCTGTCTGCAGGGTCTGGGCTTTGAGTTCAGCTTCCTGTAGTTTACCAACCAAAGACTCATGCGACTCCTGGAACTTCCTGTTAGAACAGCATGAGAGATACTTTACTCACCGTGACAAAAAAACAATAGGACACAGAGAGAGGAACAGGATCCAAACACATGACGAGTCATTTGTGAAAACAGACTCCAATTACATAATGCTAACATTATTGCAATCAAAGATCTTAAATCTCCAGCCCTGATCAAACACACATGAACAAGCTAATCAGGCCTGAAAATTACAGGCAGGGCCAGTTGTTCAAAAAGTTTAAAGGGGTCATATGATGCGATTTCAAGTTGTTCTTTCTCTTTGGAGCGTTACAAGCTGATTGTGCATAGATAAGATCCCTGAAGTTGCAAAGACTAAAGTCTCAAAACCAAAGAGATATTCTTTATCAAAGTTAAGACTCTGCCACGCCCCCCTAAAACGGCTCGTTCTAACACGCCCCCACATACCTACCTCACTATGTGGAAATATTTGCATAATGCGCCCAAATGTGCACGCAAAGAAAGAAGGCGTGGTTTCAGTAACCGCAGTTAGTGTTGAAGCAGCATGTCAGGGAGACGCTGTGTGTGTGAGAGAGAGAGAGAGAGAGTCACATCACAGTAGAGTCAGTTGTCTTAACCGCGGCTGGTGTACTGCATCATTACTGTGTCTGTTCCCCTTTCAGGGCTTGAACTGAAGGTAAAACTAATGACATTATTTACTGTCTTTACATTTATTTTGAAAGATGAAGCTGGCGATTATGGAAAGGGGCGATGCATTTCCGACGAGTGCTTGCGGTGTTCGGCCAATCACAATGCACTGGGTCAGCTGGCCAATCAGAGCAGACTGCGCTTGTCAGAAGGAGGGGCTTTGTAGAAAACGAAGCGTTTGAGAGAGGCGGGGCATAGAGGACCTACAATAATGTACAGTATTTGAAAAATAATGTGTTTTTTGAACATTAAAGCATGTCAACATATTCTGTTACACCAAATAATGATCTTTAAAAAAAAGCATCATATGACCCCTTTAACATTATTTTATTTATCCATTATACTGAAGAGACCTTTTTGAAAGATATTGTTTGTTTTGTAATTTTGAGGTGTTCAGTTTTATTTTGGTTTTAGAAAATAAACACGATTGCCCTCCTCACAAATCAACTCTTTCTTGTTTTTGTTTCATGCTCTCTGTGCCTTGCCCTGGACTTTTATGTCACTTCCTGTCTCCAGTGGTGTTTGTAGTCCGTTTGTTTCATTGGTTCCCCTTGATGAGTCTCCCCAGGTGCGTCTTATCTTGTTAAGCTTGTTAGCCCCCAGTGTGTATATATAGCCCTAATTTTCCTCAGTTCCTTGTGAGTTGTTGAATGTAATGGTTGTCTGTTTGACAGCCATTCTGTTCTTTGTTCCCGTTGGTTTTTGCCTTATTGTTTGTTCTAGTTTTTCCATGAAATACCAGCACATAGATCCTTGCCTCTGCCTGTTTTCTGCAGCTTCTCCACAACGTTACAGTTTTTTCACTGGCATGTCTCTGACTAGTGCATCTTTGAGCCTATTTTTAGTATAAGTAAAGTACTGTAAGTACTGTTAAAATCAGATACTCTAAGACTTTTACTCAAGTTGTTTTGGAATTAGTGACTTGTAACATGTAGTGGAGTAATTTTCACTGTAAGGTATCTGTACTTTTACTCAAGTATGGTTTTTAGGTACTCTTTACACCTCTGCGTGACAGTCACGACTCATGCAGCTGTAAAGTTTTCTTATTCTTTTGTTTTTACTCACGAGCTTTACAACACGCATTACATTACGTATTTCATGGCACACTCATTTAATGCGTATTTGGCGCCACCTATTGTTGTGGGTGTATTATTGACATGTCAAAGTCTAGACCCTGAATATAAGACGACCGCGTTTTTTCAGATGTATTTCCAAGAAAAAAACATTGTCTTATATTCGGGTCAATACGATATTACATGTTACAAATGTTGTATTTTTTTGGACCAGTTTTAAAGTTT